CAGGGGGGACGGTGTCCGTACGGAGACGGAACTGCGGCGGGAGCGCTTGGAAGCTGGAGGAGAGGAACGGCAGCAGGTTGCTCCCAGGGAGCAGGGTTTTAATCATCATCTTGAGGTTCGCCAACAGCCAGCAAAGATGGAAGGCACCACGGACTTGGTTTCCTTTGGGTTGGAGCCTGCCCGCATCCTTTGTGTATTCAGTTCGGGGAACATCGAGTCGAAACCCAACGCCACGTAGAGTCCATGCGTCCACTCACCCAGCCCAGAAGAGCACAAGGCTTTCAACAGCATTTTAATACACGGACGGGGAATTTTTGTGAGCCAAGGGGAAGCCCAAAGAGCCACTACCACAGGCAACGCTGGCCTCCATACCTCCGTCCCACCCCTCGCGAGCCTTGGCAGGAAAAGCACAGGGAAACGGCCTGCCACGCAGATACTCTCACGTGTGATTCCCAGGGGCAAATAAGCCATCGTGAGGGGGGCCGAAGCAGAAAGCAGGTACAGAGGGACAAAACTACATTGCTGGAAGTGTCGGTATTCATCAGGGAGGGAGCTGAAGTGGCTCAGGTGCCAGCTGGAAACAGCATTTCGCATTACAGACCTGCCTGCGATCTGCCTTTTTTAATTTGCCCCTTTGCAAATTTATTCCCCCTTGAAGCTGGCAGAGCGGCAGAAAGCTTTGAGGACACTAGCCTGGTGAAAAATACCACAGAAGGAATTCCTATACAGGAGTAAATTTAATAAAACCACCACCAATTGTTTACTTTAACATAGCTCGTTACAGAAATCATAAAAATGGACTCAGTAGCTAACTCATTAGTTCTTTCCCCTTTTAATTGAAAAATACCCCACTGATTTCAACTTCTACTGCACTAGATGGAGTGTTAAATATTTGCCAGGACAGGACGCCCAGTAATTGAGCCCAAAACAAACACAAAGACAATTCCATCATCTTTCCTTTTCAATGTTACGACTCGTTATAATGTAAATGAAACTTAAACAGCAAGGAACGGTCCATTTGACAGATGAAAGGGGGAGGGAGAGGAGATCCACAGCCAAAAATCTTTCCGTAAGTCTTTTGAGAAGTGCTGCAAAATACCCCTCCTTTTCCTGCCTCAGAATAAAAAATAAAACTCTAAACACACACACACACACACGCACGCACACACACAGAGCCTCTGGGTTCAGAGCGCGTGTCCTGCCTGCACAGACAGGAACAGCCGAGTTGGATTTGGGCAGGTAGCAATCTGGGGCCAAAAAAAAAGAAAAAAGGCAAAGCATCCTGAATTACAGTGTACATTGGTCGCCAACGCAATGCACACGGGGTTACCGAGCATCAGGAGCTGCGCGCGAGGGGACGGGTCCGTCACCAGCAATGGATACACACACAAAACCGTGGATGTAAAGGAACTGCAGGAGGAGGAGAAACCCAATTTCTCTGGTAAAAGCCTTCCAAAAAGAAAAATGTCTGTTCACTACACCAGCACACGCTTCCCCCACCCCATCCCAGGGAAAACAAAACGAAACAAAAAAAAAAATCAAACTGAAAGAAAATGCACAGCAAATAGACATAATCTTGAAGATTTTTAAAGAATAAATATTTTTTTGTAATTAAACATTATGCAAACACGTGCCACGCTTGCTCTTTGTCCATGCATATGCGCTATATACAACTTTGAAAAATACTGTGTTGTCCTCTTTTTGTTTTAAAAGTCATATACAAAGTTTTTTTTTTTTTCCTTGCTGTGTACCCCCCCTCCTCCCCTCCCCAAGAATCATCTTTACAATGAGCCAATGGACATTCATCCGTGTACTTGGGTGGCAGAGAGGAGGAGGGGGGCGGGAGAGCCATCCCCCCTTACCAAAGTACATCAAAATGGCTGGTTTGGACATGAAAAGCAGTGTCAAGAAACTGGTTTAAATTTCATCTGTACTACACACAGGAAAAGAAAGATAAAAAAGAAAAAGGAGTCGGCTTGGAGAATGAAGCTACGTTACAAGTTAAAGTTGGAGGGTTTTTTTTTAGTGCGTCTGTCACACTCTTATTGGCCGCCTAGAATACTGTTGTACAATGGTTTATCTACCTTTTTTTTTCTTTATTACAATATAATTTACTTAAATTTTCTGTTAACAAAACAGAATCCCGGTACTACAGACCAGCAGTGTAACAGGCATAGCGCCTTGTGTGTGTTTTATTTGAATCGCATGAGCACTCTAGATGGTAAAGGTTTCAGAGTTCATTTTATGCGGGGCCAGTCTCAGTCCTCTATGTACTCCCACAGGTCCTTCTCGTAGCCTTCATGCACGTGCTGCAACAAAACCCTTCGTCGACTCTCGCAGTATCTGCAGCAAAGGGGGACAAGCACAGAAAAGGCAGGTTAGGAACCGCAGCTCATCCCCAGCACCAAGTAATGCAAACCTACATTAAGCCTCACTTGCAAAAGAGGAGATCCCCTGAGAAGGGACTTTGTGTTTGTAGCCAGTTAACAGCGCTAATTAAGACTTCTGTTACTCCAGTCACTCAACTCCAGGTCCCTGGCTGAAAAAACAGCATGCAAATTTAGAGTTTCCCATGCAAAAAGTATCCCCAAAGCCCCTACAGCTGAGAAACCTCCATTAATAAACCTCCATTAATAACCGAAAAAAGTAAGAAGCAGCAGCTGCTATTTGCAAAAGCCAGAGCACGGGGTTAGCGGTGACACCCAAAATGGGACAAAGCTCTCCTCAAACGT